TGCCCAGCCGGGGAAAACGGCGGGAGAAAGCTCGAGTTTAGGGGCCTAATTAGCGGCGCGAACGGATTACGGTGAATTAAAATCCGCCGGGCCTCCGAGGAGCCGTGTGCGGTACCGTAAAAGCGTGGGAGTGCCCTCAGCGTGGGGGCGGGCTGTCCCGGTGTCGGCAGGCCTGCAGACCCCGCGAGGAGGGCGAGATTTATGAACCGGGGGACAAGGGGGAGTCCACCTGAAACGGCCAGGAACTACCCGCGCTCGGAGGTTCTCCGGTTATTGAAAGGGAAGCGGGAAGGCGGCTTTCAGTGTGCAAACCACCGCAGTTTTATTACACCGAACATCAGGCTAAAAATCAATCACGCCTTTTCACCTCTGTTAATTTAGCAAATGTGTTTCCAGGAGAAGTGATGAGGCAACCTTGATGCACAGGTTACCAGACCTTTTGCTGACATGAACCTGTCAGGATGAACATGTGACCTTTTTAGATTTTGACTAAACATTTGTCTTTATCTTTGACAGCTATTCTGAAAGCAGCTGCAAACGTGGAAGGTAGGATTTATTCCTCCTCCCCAATAGTTTCAAAGAGACATGAAAAGAAATACTTGGGGTTTTTTTTATTAATTAATATTTACTATTTATTTGCCTTTTATATATTTATTTATATGAGCTTAATTTACTTAGCTGCCATTTAATTCATTCCCAGCACAATTTACCAGTACCTACGAAACGCTTCGGGCATCCCAGGACAGCTAAATGCTTTGGTAAACTGATCACCCCCTCTTTGCTCCTTCTTTTGCATGCTAAGATCTATGAGGGGGACTGACACAGAGACATTAGGATAGATTTTCCCCCTGGTAGTTAAGGGGGAAATTAGACCATTAGTTTTCAGTATTCTTCATATTTATTTATGGCTACAGTACACCCACTTCTATTTGCTTTTTATTTATTTACAGATGCCAAAAAGGACAAAGCTCATGGTCGCATGAATACGTGGATACTACTTACTCTAGTCCTCATCGTTTTATTAGGGATGGGCTTCACGATTTATTTCTTATTCAAGATCAAAACTCAACGTGAGACTGAAAGAGAGGCGAGGCGGCGCAGCAGACTGCTAGAATACAGCCATGTCCTAACTGGAAAGGACAATGAAAATGATTCTACCAATGACAAAGAAAAAAATGAACGCAGTGTCGTCTAATGGGATAACACAGCCAAACTATATGGTTAAGCTTAAAAAAAAATCTAGCTGGAACAAAGCAAATCTTAGCAAAAGTTACATGCACCTAATAGACACTATGAACTAAAATTGGCAATTATTCCTTTGGTAAGAATTAAGAGCTATTGCTCTATGCTCTTCAAGAAATAGTCTCAGGACGAAGACTCAGTACTGTATAGAATGGCTAATTAATCAAGCACAAAAAATAACAGAACTAGTGGGAATTTAGATTTAAAAGCTATGGACTAACACCCTAGTGTTCTCTCTTTTTAGAGATCTGTGGCAGCAGCACATACAGAGTCAAGTGCAGACATACAGCGAGCACTCTCTCTGCAGAGCACTCGGCCCCAAAGCCTGCACTTTGAGAATATATCTCACCATAACATACTGAAGCGTGCATACTGTTAGTCAAGTAAAACGGTGTTTGGAATAAAGACAGATATACATGAATTGTTTTTCCCCATTATTGCCCCTGTCTTACATTCTTTACACAAGTATCTTCCTTGCCATAGCATTATAAGTGAAATGCAAATACTTGTCCTTCATTCATGGCTTCAACTTGGATTTTGCAAAACAAGTAAATCTTTGCAAACACTCAGGCATATTCTGTCTTTGAATGGTTTGTATCAATTATCAGTATGAGACTATATCAATAAAGGACCTATATATGACATAATAAGACTTCAGTGTTTAATTAGCATGCAGAGATGTTGAATGGTTTAGTGATCTAATGAGTCAATTACCTTAAGAGAGAGGCTAACAGGAGGAAACACAGAAATATGAACAAGGCATATGACTAAGAAGAAACATAAATAAATTATAAAATAAAGTGGATGCCAAATAAAGCTGGAAGAACCCATTCCTGGTTTTATTTCACTTGATTGCTCATTTTAGGACATCTTTTCATACTGTCCTCCAACTATCTGATAAATGGACTGACATCTGGGCACTATATCCATGCTACAGGCCAGCAAGGCAGTGGGGCACACCACACTGTCTTGGCAGTGAAATGCTACAGAGGTTTACTCTGCCGTTTAAGTTTTCTAGGAACTCTATGTTGTCTATGACAGGCTGAAGAAAGAAAAGAAAAAGATCTCAAGGATCTCTGGGAAAAACAGACCCATAGTGCATAAGAACTGTACAGGAGAGATCATTGGGAAGGAGAGATTCACATGACATTGGACTGCTGGTTTGTAGATGCTGCAATCAAACAAAACATATTGCAGAGGATAGGGAATGAAGGGCGTTCTGTACTCAAACTACTTTTACTGACAGTCCCCTTGATCTTACATTCTTTTTTTTCCTTCATGTAAGTTACAACAATACCCATATTTATCTTTTTTGTAAATACTGACACTGAATTGGATTCAGTGCTGTTGGATGACTAATGATAAAGGCAAGGCAAATCAAAAGAATAAACAGATGGAAAAAACCATGAAATTGTATTATTTATAATATTGATGGTTGATACTGGTAACACAGCTCTGAAGACCCTATACTCTATAACTGGGTTTCTTCTCTCACATTGTGATGTTTTGCCCTTGCAGAATATACTGTGAGATTTGTCTTCATAACAAAGCCATGAAAAATGAGTGAAAATTCTAAGGGCAATTTCTGCTGAATATCTTTTCTCCTTTTCCTTCAAAACAAACGAGGGATTTTGCATCATAGCTGAAGTTGATTTCCACTTGCTAAAGGGCTGGAGCTCATTTGTACTGTTTGAAAATATTCCTCTTTCCTTGTCTCATTTACACTTGGTACAAGGAAAGAACTATTAAGTATTAAAATTCATTTGTACTTTAGGGATTAAATAATTTTGAAAGGCAGTTTTGTTGTCAAAATCTCTCATTAACAGAAAGATTTGTAAAGATTCTGCTAATTTGTATTGGTTCTCCTGAGATAAATTCACATGAAATAATAGCACAGTAGATTTACCAGCTGATAAATCGGAGAAGACAAAACCAAGTGTATACATAGTGCCCAGTTTGTCAAGTTACCAAGCAAAATTAAATCATCCCATCTGGGTTAATTTTTCACACTGAAATAAGTCAACATTGTTCCATGCATCAAATTAAATGAATATATCTTTTGTAGCAGTGAAGACCTATCTGGCCAAGAAATTAGCTTTTTTTTTTTTTTTTGGAGTTTCCCAGATAAGTATGTATGAGATTTAAAGTATATCCATTTAAAGTGTACTCCCTGCTTCTTTGTCTTTGAGGGTCATGCCTTTACAATCCTGGAGCAGAACCAAGAAAGTTAAAAATAATTCAGCGAAATGATGTTGAACGTTCAAACTCTGCCACTTGCATTCGAATGGATAGAAACTTCACTTTCAGATGCAAAGTTTGAATTTTGTAGTTGTTTATAGATTTCAAAATACCACATGTGACAGGATATTTCCTTATTTAGAGCCCAGAGTTTTCTCTTTCAACGAAAACTCTCCAAAACTGAGAAGGACCCAATGCCAACTGGTTCCTTAAGGACTTGTACTGCAGCAATTAATTTCAGCTCATCTCTGTGAATAAGAAGAAAGAAATGAAATACTTGATTTTTTCTACAGTCTTAGTTTTCCTCTCTTTCATTCATACTGCTTTTCAGACACTTGGTGAGTCTTTTTTTTTTTTTTATCCCTTGCAAAAGTGGATGTGAAAGTGGGCATTTTTGTTTTCTTGCTTATTTCTCAGGCTCTTTAAGATATTCATGCAGCTTGACTACCTTGCATTTCATATTCATCCTAACTGGAGTGGTCCACAGAAGTTTAAAAAAGATGCAGATACAGAGATGTTGGTTCACCTTTAAAGAAAGGGGAAGAGTTGAAATGGGGTAAAGCTGGGAATCAGAAGTCAGGACAGGTTATGCATGCGGATAAAGATTTCCTTTTGGATACAACTTAATTATTGGTTATGTCTGCTCTGTGAAGTAGATGAAGTAGTGCACAGTATATGTGACTGAGTTACAAAAAAAATGAAAAACAGAAAGGAACTAAATAGGGTGCTGTACGTGTATCTCCTAGCTTTAAGATGAGGTTGTGTGGGATGATATGGAGCTTGTGGATTGATGTGAGATGTAATACTGTGGCTGAACAGATGCCAGTGAAAAAAATTAAAAAGTTCAGAGTCAAGAACGGCCCTGGAATAACCGCCATGGCTTTCAGAGTAAGGATGAGAAGCATAGTTAAGGCTCTGAAGTTGACCAGGGACAGATCACAGCTCCCTTTTGATGTGAGGGTGGTGATAAGGTTCAAGGACATTTTTCCTTTATCCTTCAATTCATTAGATTTGTGGAGGATTGGGGTATAAATTACAGCTTCTGAAAGCAGACACTGTGCCACGTGAGCTGTGCCAGCACTAGCCTGTGCAAAAAGGGGGTCTCCCCTCTGCTCTGAGAGCTGGGAACCAAACCCATGTGACAGCCCAAGCATGAACCTCACTGTTTCCAGTGAGAACTCCTATTATTAGACCCCAAAACACCACGAGGGACAATAGCTGAAACTTAGGGCACTACACTAAGCACTTATTTAGTTGGCATTAAGAAATAAAAGATTTAAAAAGATTTAAAACTTCTGTCTAAATGGACAAGGAAAGGAGAAACTAGGTCTTAGCTCCAAATTTAGATTTGAAGAAGTGAAACTTCCATAGATTACTAAGCTGGTCAAAGCAATACAGGGCCTTCTTGGGAGACATCTGGCATTAAATACAGATATCCTCACAAGAACTATTCTTCCTGTCAAAGCTTCCCAGAATTTCCCAGATACTTTCTGCTCTGTTCACTACTCAACACTGGCTGTGCCCTAACGTCCTACCCTTGTCCTACAAATTTACTTTAGTGTTTGGAAGGGTATCTCACTGTACCTGATGTGGTTGGTTATTCTCTCAGATGGATACGGGGGTGATGCTACATCTCGTTTCCAGGCGGGGATTTGAGGTGCAGAGAACTGAAGGGCAAAGCCTTGCCCTCCTGTCCCATAGGTCCTAGAATATTCCCTGTAGTCCAAATTTCAGTCCCTCATGACCCAAAGCAAGTGGGAGCTGTACGCTACTTGACCTTTTGAAAAGCAGGCAGCTGTGTTCACAGAGCAATGCCCAGCGCTGAACGACCTGCTTTACGTGTCGGCAGTACAACTCCAGTACTGGGTAGCCCTTCCCGGCAGGGCCTACTTGTCTCAATAGATTACTAAATTAGGCTGCCTATAATCCTTTGGGAATGTTAACTAGCTTGTTGAGCATTCACATACTGTCTTTCCATAACAAGGCACAGGCACACACCTATAGTACCTTTACCTCTATATACTGCCTGGTGTTGGTTCTTCTGAGAATGTTTGTGATTTGATTGTGTGAATTACGTTGACTTCTTATGGTAGACAAACTAATGAGAGGATACTGGAACATGGCAAGATAACAAGTCACCGTTCCACGTTTTTTCATAAAAAAACCTCCAAACCATAACAGAACATGCCAATTACAGAAAGAGCAAGAGTCACAGAAGGCTCACTCACTAACTATTAAGCACAAATGCAACCCTGTGGAGATGTATGTAACATGAGCTAAATCTATAGTGCGTGAGGTGATGGCAAACTTCCAAATCTTCAGTAAGGTCTCTTTTGGAAATCTTGAAAGAAATGTGTATTTCAGGAGGGATTTAGAAAAATAAAATCCACTATACTCATGAAAATTCCATTATAGTGATGACATTTTTGAAGCTGTCATAATGTATTTTGTGTGCTCTTATTCCTCTGTACTGTATTTACATGAGCTACACTTATTTTTTCCTTCCCAGAAGGCAATAAAAGTCTTGAAAATGCTGTTTGATCTTTGCAAAAGTGACTCAGATTTACAGTCTCCAGACATTAGTCAGATCAGCATAGAATCAACAGCACGTCTCTTTCCTCACAAGCTCCCCTCACCATGTGCTCACCATAAATACATTAATTCTGATTATTTTGTTTTACAGACAATGAAATATTGTTAATATACAATGAGGAT